ATGACCTGGATTACTTGTATATTGACTCAGTACGTTTACTGCATGCGCTAGATCTGGTCTTGTGCAATTGGTCAAGTACATGAGACTTCCAATCACACGTGCATACTCATTTTGTGAAACCACTTCCCCTGAGTTCTTCGTCAAGTGCATTTGGGGATCTAACGGAGTTTTCGCCGTGCTATTAGAGTAATTTTAAATCTCTCCAATATTGTTTCAGCATAATGAGCTTGGGTTAATGTAATTCCTTTTGAATTTCTTGTGACTTTATCTCCGAGAATTACATCTGCTACTCCCAAGTCTTTCATCTCAAATTTCCCTTTGAGCATGTTCTTTGTCTGATTGATTATGTCTTTATTGCTTCCAATAATAAGCCTATCATCTACATATAGACATAGCAAAACATACCCCATTTTGGTAGTTTTGTAGTATATGCATTTGTCACATTCATTAATTTTGAAACCATTTGACACCATTGTACTGTCAAATTTTTCGTGCCATTGTTTAGGAGCTTGTTTAAGCCCATAAAGTGACTTTACTAGTCGGCGTACTTTGCCTTCCTATCCAGGAATGACAAACCCTTCAGGTTGTTTCATGTAAATTTCCTCTTCTAAATCACCATTTAGAAAAGCGGTTTTTACATCCATTTGATGGATTTCTAGGTCTCTTAAGGCTGTGATTGTTATCATCAGTCTTATTGATGTGATTCTCGTTACTGGAGAATATGTATCAAAATAGTCATGGCCTTCCTTCTGTCGGAATCCTTGAACTACAAGCCTAGCTTTGTATTTTCCACCAGGTTTTCGTGTCATTATCCATTTATTTCCTAATGCTTTGCAGCCATGTGGTAAATCTGTTATGTACCATGTATAATTTTGCATGATAGAATCAAATTCACTTCTGACAGCTTCGTTCCAAAACGGAGCTTCTGGTGAAGCCATGGCCTCTGCCAAAGTTTTTGGAACATTTTCTACTAGAAATGCCATTAGGAAATCTTCTCCAAAAGATTTTTCCTTTCAAGCTCTTTTGCTTCTTCTAGGTTCATCTTTTTCATTTTTTGAAATATCATTTGTAGAAATCTCGACGTTTGTCTCAGTTTCTAAAATATTGTCGTTGTCTCTTTCTTCTCGAGTTCGTTTTGCAACTTGTTTTTCCTTGCATGGGAAAATATTTTCGAAGAAAGATGTATTTCTTGATTCCATTACTGTGTTTTCATGAATATCTGATATTTTAGATTTATGTACCAGAAATCGGTAAGCGCTACTGTTATGTGCATATCCGATGAAGATGCAATCCACTGTTTTAGGTCCAATAGTGACATTTTTTGGTGGTGGTACCGCAACTTTTGCCAAGCACCCCCACACTTTAAGATATTTATACGATGGTAAATTACCTTTCCATAATTCATATGGAGTTTTGCTAGTTAATTTGTGTGGAATTTTGTTGAGGATATAATTAGTGGTAAGCAGCGCTTCCCCCCACAGGTTTTGGGGCAACCCTGATTCCTGCAACATTGCATTCATCATCTCTTTTAGTGTTCGATTTTTGCGTTCAGCAACTCCGTTAGATTCTGGTGAGTAAGGGGCTGTAGTTTGATGAATTATTCCATGTTCTTTACAGAATTCATTGAATGGCCCATCATACTCGCCTCCTCTATCGCTTCTAACTATTTTAATAGTTGTTTTAAGCTGATTTTCTACCTCGAGTTTAAATTCTTTGAATTTTTCTAAGGTTTCATCTTTGCTAAGTAATAAGTATACATAACAATATTTTGTGCAGTCATCTATGAAGGTCACAAAGTATTTTTTCCCACCTCTAGTTTGTATATATTTTAAATCACATAAATCGGTGTGAATTAAATCTAGAGGTTTGTTAGTTCTTTCAACATGAGGTGAGGGTGTTTTTGTGAGCTTAGCATGTACGCTTACTTCACATTTTTGTTTACTTGCTTTACATTTTGGGATTAGATTTAGATTCATTAATCTTTGTATCGATTTGTAGTTCACATGGCCTAATCTTTCATGCCAAATATTAAAAGACTCAACCAAATAAGCAACTGGCTCTTTCTTATTCATTGAAACTTTTGGAGCTACAAATTTTGGAAGGACTGTCATTACATTCATTTTGACCAGTCCATCCTTAACATACCCCTTTCCCAAATACACCCCATTCTTCCTAATCACGAGTTTGTCCGCCTCAAGAAATGTGACGAATCCATTCTTGCTGAGCAAGGTTCCCGAAACCAAGTTTTTCCTCATGTCAAGCACATGCTTCACATTCTGCAGAGTGACTTCACGTCCAGATGTCATCTTCAGAACCACCTTGCCGCGGCCTTCAATCTTGGAGACTGCTTTGTTTCCCATGAACAGCTTCTCCTGAGTCTTGCTTTTCTGATAAGTGCTGAACATCGCCCTATCAGTGCAAATGTGGGTGGTGGCACCAGTATCATACTACCATTCTTTGGGGTTGCTGTTTTCAACCATGTTGACTTCAGTCACCACTGCAACGAGATCTTCTTCCGCGAGATTCACCTGGGCCTTCTCATCTCTGATCTTGTTGCGACACTCAACAGTCTTGTGACCATTTTTGTGACAGTAGTGGCACTTTTCCTTGAATTTCTCCACATTCTCATTGGTTTCATTGCATTTGCCTTTCTTCTTGAAGTTTGGTCCAGAAACCTTCAAGTTTGCAGCTGTCTTGGAAGGCTTGGCAGGGGAGTTAGCAATTGCCTTTCCTTTACCTTTCGTTTCAGCCACATTAATGCTGTGCTCTTTAGCTTCGAGCTTGTCATTCTTTCGGTTTCTGGCTTCCATCTGAAGCCTCTGAATGAGATCCTCAAGTCTCATCTTCTTCTTGTTGTGCTTCAGGTAGTTCTTGAATTCAGCATAGCTTGGAGGAAGCTTTTGGATGAGGCTGAGGGTTATGAATGTCTCATCTATGGATATTCCCTCAGCAGCAATTTCATAGAATATGAGTTGATACGCTTCCACCTGATCCATGATAGGTTTTGAATCCACCATTTTGAAGTCATGGAATTTCGCAACTACATACTTCTGGCAGCCAGCGTCTTCACCTCTATACTTCTTGTCCAGGGATTTCCAGAGCTCTTTAGCCGTTGGAATCTCACAGAAGACTTGGTACAATGGGTCAATGAGACGACCCAAAATGTAGCCTTTGATGATGAAATCCGAATGCACCCAACTTTCAACACTTGAGAAGACGTGCATATCATCAATTTCGTGAGGGATAATGGGCTTATCTTCCTCGATGAATTTGTCCAACTTGCACAAACTGAGGAAGAACATCATCTTCTTCTGCCACGTCTTGAAGCCTTTGCCATCAAATTTATCTGGCATCATATTCTGAGAGATGACACCAGGAATAGCCGGAGGAGTCGCAACTGCAACCGGAACACTTGTGGATCCTTGAATTTGACCCGTTTGATAAAGACCAGCACCGAACAGGCTACGGCGTGTGGTCTCATCAGGAATAGCACCCACTGGAAGGGTCGCATCGGTTGATACAGCGTTCTTCACGCCGGTTGCAACAGGTGCTGTCACGTTGAGTGGAGTCTGATTGGCGAGGTCAATGGGGGGTGTTATCATCGTTCGTCATTTTTCTGTAAAGAAAATATGAAAACAGATCAGTACTCCACACAACCATTCAAATAACAACATATTATTTTTAAGCAAAAATAATAGTGTGAAATCGATTTTCATTTTTGGTAATATGAACCAAATCATATCGATAGAAGTCTGGAAAACGTTTTGCAACCCGATTAAAGGTTTAGAGAGAAAGCTATTAAGAGTTAAGATTGTAGAAGCCGGAAAACCGGATCGACATAAACGATATAAGAAAGACAGAGTTAAGGAAATGGACGATTATATAAGACATGGAGGCGAGATAAATCTCTTTCCTTAACTCCTAATATTCGCTCCGTAGTGAGACGAAACTGTACGAATATCGAGTCCCAGGATACAACCATGGCAGACGAATAACGCTTCACTCGTGAAACGACCTAACGAACTTAAATTCAACGAACACTCTCTTAAAACTTACGTTGAGAGATTACTGGATTTTTTCTGTGTAAAAAACGATTAAAGAGTGAAGAAGAGAAGCGAGTTTATTTAAAGAGAAAGACGAAAGCCACTTCCCGCAACAACTGCTGCACGTGGGCGTGACTCTTGCGGAGATCGAGGGAAGTTGAGTAGCGAAATCTTTTTCTGCAAGATTCTCTCTTTTCTCGTTTAAATATCTGAGAGGATAAACTAGATGACCTTTTTTTATTTGTTAGATAAACTACTTGTCGTTTTAAATAAAATTGCATGCTGTTTTAAAAAGGTTGAATGGCAAAGGTCCTCCAATAAAACCCAAGCCGAACTGGCCAGGCGGAGGCAGGCATGTGGGGCGAAACAATCTCTCTCACACATAAACCTTTGAACAAGCTTAAGTGTAAAGACATATATATATTGCATAATTCTCTCCTATTTTTCCGATGTGGGAGAAGTTAATATTTTTCACTTACAATTATATGGGTCATCAAATGTAGAAGCCCAAGTCATTTGTTATCACATTTTGATTAAAGCCCTTTTGGGCTTAATGGTCCAACAGATTGCATCATCACTTTTCAAAACCAAGAACATGTCTTCACGGAACCTACTCCTGTTGTGGTCTTAAAACTGTACAGCAACAAACAGAAGATTCTCTTTTCATCAACATAGACGACTATTGGAACCCAACATGAGATCTATTGGAACCACAAAACTCACATTTTGACTACCACAAGTGCAAGAAGGAAAGCTTCGTAAACATGTAGACACGCAACCACAAGTATTTGTGTTTTTAATTATAAATCTTTTTTTTTTTTTTTACCGTTTCATCACATAGACAGACTTTAGAACGAGTCTTACATATCTCAAGAAGTCTATATATTTATTACAGAAAAGTCTTGGGGCTCTCTGTCTCTCAAGATTCCAAACGCAGGCAGGCAGGCAGGCAGGCAAATGGGTCAAAATCTTGGAAGAGGAATCTCCGGCCCGTCACCGTTCGATTCATTACCAGTTGATTGCATCTCAACCATTATCTCCTTCACGACTCCACGAGACGCATGCGTTGCCGCTTCTGTTTCAAAAATGTTTGAATTGGCGGTTAAGTCCGATAGCCTGTGGAAGAAGTTTCTTCCTTCCGAATATACATCTCTGATTCCATTGTACTCTCGAATTTTCTCATCCAAGAAGGAGCTCTATTTCACTCTCTGCAATGAACCTCTTCTCATCGAAGATGGCAAAAAGGTATACATATACAGGACTTTGAAAATAATTATCAAATTGATATTAGTCCATAGAATCATCATCATTCAGTTTTAACTATATGAGAATATTTTGGGGAACAATGATTGGTGATTCAATCTGATTTGAGATATACTCGAGAGTAATATGTATTTTGAGACCGTTGACTTTTCTTTTTTTGCTTTTAATGTCTAAACTTGCATTAAAAGACTCGGATGTTACCTTGGTGTTAATGAAATAGAAAATTACAACCAATCCGGTGATTAAAAATAATTTTACAATAAAAATAATACTTTCACACAAACATTATAAGTACGATTTATTAGGGTCCGACTGGTTTCCCCGCTACCACCCGCAAACGCAGCTTTTGCTGTTGATGGCGGTTGCTAACGTTTTCGAATAATCACAAAAATCGCTACAAATCGCTTCAAACCGCTCCCAACCTCTTAAAATCAAAAGCTGGTTTCAGCTAGCGTTTGCGTTTGCGGGCGATTGCGGGTGGGTAAAAAAACTATTTTTCTTTTAAATTTAAATTAAAATAATATAACTAAAACTATATCTACCTTTTATTTTTAATTTAAATTCACTAAAAATATCATAATCTATTTATAAAAACTTTAAATCAAGAATTTTCACTATATTTTTCAATATTAAATATATAAATAGATAAATAGATAAATATATAAATATATAAATATATAAATATATAAATATATAAATATATAAATATATAAATATATAAATATATAAATATATAAATATATAAATATATAAATATATAAATATATAAATATATAAATATATAAATATATAAATATATAAATATATAAATATATAAATATATAAATATATAAATA